TAATAATAATAATAATAATAATAATAATAATAATAATAATAATAATAATAATAATAATAATAATAATAATAATAATAATAATAATAATAATAATAATAATAATAATAATAATAATAATAATAATAATAATAATAATAATAATAATAATAATAATAATAATAATAATAATAATAATAATAATAATAATGTTTCACTTTATTATTAATGGATTATATTTATTATTAATGGATTATATTTATTATTAATGGATTATATTATTATTATTATTTAAATTTAAAAAAATAATAACAATAATGATAACAACAATAAAAGTTATTATTCAATTACATTTTAATTAAAAAAATGTGTCTAATAATAGTAATAATATTAATTATTATCATTAGTGTTATTGTTAATAACACCACCACCACCACCAATAATAATAATCATTAATAATAATAACTATAATTATTATTATTAATAAACAATTATTTAAATACAAAATTAATAATAATAATCATAATGGTTTTATTTTATTATTAATGTATTATATTTTATTACATTATTTTACATTTATTACATATTAAGTAATGATTTAAATTAATTATTATTATTATTATTTAAACAATCATTTGATTTGAAATATAATAATAATAATAATAACCAAGACCAAAAAGACAGCACATATTGGTTCATTTGCATTGAGCACAAAACCATCTGAAGTCAGGCTGATGTTTATACATTTACAAAATTGTCATTTTTCATTTGTCATGTTCATAACTGTGGATATGGTTGGGTCTGTGCAGTTCATTGTAATATTAATCATTTTTATTTGATTTTAAGGGCAGTTTTGTTTGTTTTTTGCTTTTGTGCTGTAATTATAAATCTCTTGTACAGTGCTGTTGAGTCCGATGCACAATCCTTGAAGTGAACGCAGTTGAGAAGCAGTGATTTACAGGCTTCATCGTCTGATGCCTGATGCTGGTGACAGGGACAGACTCCAGACTGCGTTTGTGCTCGTACCTCTTGGTCCACCTGGAAGAGCCGGACCGTGACGTTGCCCCTGAAGTCGTCTCGCGGTCCGTTGGGAAAGATGCCCAGCTGGGTGATGACCACCGAGTGAAGGACCTTGAAGTCCAGACTGACGGCAGAGACATCGGAGGGCAGCAGTGCAGACGTGTCAGGAACGCTCAAGATAGCCATCTCCTGCCCAGCAGCTGAAACCAGAGTTCAGGGATCAGGGCAACTTCTGCTGAAATGAGTTTAGCAGGCACAAATCAATTCTTAAGAAAAATAAAACCACTAATAATAATAACAACAACAACAGTGGTTTTATTTCATTATTAATTGTTTATATTTTTATTCTATTATTTTTAATATTACTATTAAACAATGATTAAATTAAAATATAATTTAATAATAATAATAACGTATTATTATTCAGTAATACTGTAATTTAAATAATTTCTCTAATAGCAATAATTATAATTCCTATTGTTGCTATATTTTATATTCATATTTAATATATTTACTATCTTATATTTGATATAGTTATTATTATTATTATTATAAATAATGATGCAAATGAAAAACAATTTAAATGTAAATTTAAAATTTTATATTTTATTAATAATAATGCAAGAAAAAATACAAATAAACCATTATTATTATTAAAAACAACTGAGGTTTTTTATTATTATTAATTGTTT